AAGATAATAATTAAGTATCTTATTAGATCTCAATGATTATTCTTATTATATTTTAAATTTTTTATATTTAAAATAAAACATTTATCTCATATCTGATTATGTTTTATATGCAGTTAGTTACACGAGTTCAAAAATAGAGCTTTAATAAATTATATTTTGTACTTACACACAATTTAATTTAATCTTGAACTTTAAGTAATAACATTAGTACTTCATGTAACAAAATGGTTTTTAAAAGTTTTTTCTAAATATTTCATCATATTAGAAAGGTACTCATGCAACGCCGGAAGATAAATCTCGATTTTAATGTTTCGTTTTATTCTTTGTTTTTGTCAATATTAAAATGAGATGTTTACCATATATTTGATTATGTTTATTTACAGTTAGTTACACAAGTTAAAAAATGAAGCTTTAATAAATTGCATTTTCGTATAGTGTAACACCCCATCCTACTAAACTTAAGATGAGACATGTCACAACCGAAAACGGATCAAAAGTCTACCATTTATAGTACAGAGCTCTAATGGAACTCCCAAAAAAAAACATTACAACCATAATATTACATATCACTAACATATTCACCTAACAACATAGCAAAAACACTATATTCAACCGCTAGTCTTTTAGAATCCTAAGCCATCTCGACCCTTCATTCTGCCCCTAAGTTAGATCTTGAACCTGCCGAGGTAAAACAAAACAAACCTCGACTGAGCAAAAATTGCCCAGTGAACGAATAATAGAAGAAGAATATCAAATATGAATAAATAACTGAAAGGAAACATTACGATACAAGTGAAATCAATTTAAGTGTRAATMKYTAAAAATTGAAAGTTATATAATAAAAAADATATTCAAGGTAAGAAGGTCATCCGTATCATTAGGATACGTTGTTCCCGATGGATGATCAGTCCAATCAGGCATCGTAATGGAATGGAAGTGTCGGGCACTACACCATCACATTCCCCGGTAACCAGAGGTATCTGGTATTCGGCTCTATCCGGTAACCAATATAATTGGTATTCGGTTCTACCCGGTATTCGGCTCTATCCGGTAACCAATATAATTGGTATTCGGCTCTACCCGGTATTCGGCTCTATCCGGTAACCAATATAATTGGTATTCGGCTCTATCCGGTATTCGGTTCATAGGATGCATCCAACATTCTCTATTTGGCTTGGCCGTAGCTTTTATGAGAATGCCATGACTATTTTAGCCATCATGGGGGCGTCTCAACACCTGTGCCCCGAGTATTGAGTCTATTCAAAGTTAAGTCAATAAACTCAAACTCAAATAACCAAATCAAGAACCAAACATTTGATAATAAGTCTAATAAAACCATTGAGGTTCCAACTTATATAAAATCGATCATGAGTCTAAAAACGTACCGGTAATGGTTTAGATTTTATCAGGTACACAAAATTTATAAACCAAAACATCATATATCACATAAAAGAATTTCATATACCAATTTGATCATCTCCCCTTTTGTGGACACGTGTCATAATTAAGATTTCATAGAATGGATAATCACCACAATTGATTACCCACATATCAAAGAAAGTAGATATTCGTACCTTGAAAGTGTTTTAAATATGATCAAACAAAATTTGAGGCTTATGAATGATTCCCTCCTTTCATATTACCTACACTTATCAGAAAAAGGACTTTTAGACTATTTTCAATAATACTTCTCATCAACTTCAAGTTCCTACAAGCTATTACCTTTCATAGAACTTATGGACCTTCAAGCATGCTCAACATACCACTAGGACACTTAGTAAACATATAACACAAACATATAACACAATGCCTAGGACTAAAGACAACATTTGCTAAAATCAAATTTACACAATCCAAACAGAAGCTAACAGGTTATGTACACCAAAAGTTTAAGCTTTTTTCTCACACTTAAAGGCTGAACTAAACTTTCTTATAAAAATGAAAGTTGTACATATACCTCTTAGGATTTCATACCAACTGGATTCACATAATTTGGAGTTCTGGTCTATTTTATACAGAATTTATACAAACAGAGTGCAATTTCGAGTGTCTGCAGACAGGGTCTGGAAAATCAAAGATTTCAAGACATGTAAGGTTCGAATTAGGTTTCTCAGTAAACTAGAAAGTTGTAGATAACTCAAACACCTTTCTAACGATATAAAGAACGCATCAATCGGACAAACGGTTGATTTTATATGAATTTTCAAACTTACAGAAACGAATCTGCCTCCTCTAACAGCACCAACTTAAAGAAATTTCATCAATCTTCAATTTTTAACCTATGAATCATGAATCAACTTAGGGTTTAACCAATGTCCTAAAGAAGAAGAAATCAGAAAAATAAACTATAGACATACCTTATCTTGAGTTCCTAGTTCCGATTATAACATCAATTCTTCAAAAACTCAAAGATTTAACAAGAAATCTCTAGGTTTATGAAGATGAGATGGGGAATTTTTAGAGAGAGGTAGGAGAGATCTTAAGAGTTAGAGAGAGGAAGCAAGCTGAAATTCTTTAAAAAAAATAACAATTTCCTATATATATTTACAATATTTACTATCTAACCCTTGATCTTAAGCTTAGTAGCAATATAATCATACTTTGACAATTTCCTTTACAATTTTGGTCCTAACCAAGATTGTTCTAACTAACTTAGAACTCCAATGAATTTTTTTGAAAATAACTAGGCCTAATAAACGGCTCTTAAAGACTAAGATATAAACACTAAAACACATTTTCACACTTGAACAAAATTGGTTCTCGATCAAGAGATTAGATTTACCAAATACAGGGTATTATATATAGTTTATTAATATGCATCAATAAACAGTAATTTATACATAAAATTGGTTTTTAAGAGTTTTTATCAAATAGTTTATGATATATTATAAATTAAATAACTAATCATATTTGGTAAGTAAAACTTAATAAATAAATAAATATAATGATAAACAAAATTATAATGTTACAATTCGTATAATGATTCAACAAAGGTCTTATTTTGTTTTAATTGTAATTATTTTTATCATAAAAATAAGCAACGAGACAAAAATGGTTACTAATAATCAAAATAACCTTTAATTGGGTGATAATGGGTTAGATTGGCCGGGTTGAAAGCACTTTAACAACCCAATCCAATCTTTATGGTTTGAAAAATCTCAACCCCACCGAATCAAAAGTGTAACCCAATCTAACCCACAGGAAGACTAAGAGTGAGTCTAGTGGGAAAGGCCGCAACTTGGCAGCAGGAAAGGTCGTAGGACCTTTTGTTTCCCTTGTTCGAGATTCCAGTGTTTGGCATGACTTTTCCGACGACTTAGGTCGTGAGGAAAGCCACGGGACCTTTTGTTTTCTTCCTTTTGAAAGTTTGAGCTGGTCCTCAATTGTTCTTGCTAGCCTCCCTATATCTCTTGGTAAATACAAAAAAAAAAAAAAAAAAAAAAAA